CTGGTAATGATTAACGGCGGCCGCGCTCAGCTTGGGGCCTTCCAGCACTTTCCTGGGCCCAGAGAGCCGCTCCATGGCTGGCCCTTCTGAATCACGTCCCGGTTCCCGACTGGGTGATCCTGGGCGCTAAGTCACCAGACTTTATCTTGAAAAACAATCGGATGTAATTGACTAGAACAAATGGCACATATTTAGAGCACAATTTGACATGTGTCCGCCATGGAGCCATTACCACGATCAAGATCATGAACACATCCCACAGTGCTAAAAGTTTCCTCTTGCCACTTAGGAAACTCTCCCCCTCCCCAGGCGACCACTGATGTAATTTGTCACTATACTTTGCATTTTCTCGAATCTTATGTAGAGTAGATGGAACGGTACTGTACCCACTCAGCATAAGTCTTTTGCGGTTCATCCATCTAAGTCCTAGAATCAGGTAATGTCACTTCTCTTAACATTATAAAAATTTTTTTTCTATTAACTTTCTTTTGTGTGTGTGTGTGTGTATCAATAGTTCCTTGTTTCTATAATAAAGTAAAATATATTTATTTAATAGTCTTGTTTTGTATGGGTACACCCCAAATTGTTGAGCAATTCACTGTTGAGGGACCTTTGGGTTGTTTCCAGTTGGGCGATTACTAACAAAACCCTTAGGAATTGCATGCCCAAGATTTTGTATGGACACCTCTTTCATGTTTCTTGGGTCAATACCTAGGAATGGAATGTTTGGGTCCTATGACAGTGCATGTTTATAACCTTGGGAATAACACTGTTTTCTGAGAGGTTGTATTATTTTACATTCCCACTAGGCCGGAGTTCCAGTTCTCCCAGACACTGATGCAGCTGGTTTTTCTTTCTCCTCCTCCTCCTCCTCCTCCTCCTCCTCCTCCCCCCTCCCCCCTCCTCTTCCCCCACCTCCTTCTCCTCTTCCTCCTCTTCCTCCTCCTCCAGATTGAAACCAAGGATGCTTTACCTCAGAACTAAACTCCCAGCCCTTCTCCACCTGGCTTCAAACTCAAAATCCTCTTGCTTCAGCCTCCCAAGTGGCTGGGATTACAGGCTTGTGCCACCACATACTTGTGGATTTATTCTGCACTTGCTCTTCTGTTCCATTGATGTATTTGTTCATCTTGACACCAATACCACACTGTCTTGATTACTGTAAGTTTATTGTCATTATTTTATTTGAATAAAAATAAGATTTATTTTTTAATATAAATAATGTGGATTGAACCCAGGGATGCTCTAATGCTGAGCTACAGCTACAGCCCTTTTTATTTATTTTTTTTTTTTTTTAAAGAGAGAGTGAGAGACAGAGGGGGACAGAGAGAGAGAGAGAGAATTTTAACATTTATTTATTTTTTTCTTAGTTCTTGGCGGACACAACATCTTTGTTGGTATGTGGTGCTGCTGAGGATCGAACCCGGGCCGCACGCATGCTAGGCGAGCGCGCTACCGCTTGAGCCACATCCCCAGCCCCCCCCTTTTTATTTTTTGAGACAGGGTCTCACTAAGTTGCCAAGGTTGGCCTCAAATTTGTGATTCTCCTGCCTCAGCCTCTGAGAGAGCTGGGATTACAGGTGTACACCAATATGCCTGTCCTATCGCTTTAAAATAAGTCTTAGAATCAGGTAATGTCACTTCTCTTAACATTATAAAAATTTTTTTCTATTAACTTTTTTTTTTTTTTTTTTAGTATAGGGGTGTTGAACTCAAGGGCACTAGACCACTGAGCCACATCCCCAGCCCTTTTTGTGTTTTATTTAGAAACAGGGTCCCTCTGAGTTGCTTAGTGCCTTGCTGTTGCTGAGGCTGGCTTTGAACTCGAGATCCTCCTGCCTCAGCCTACTGAGCTGCTGGGATAATAGGTGTGCACCACCACGCCCGGTTTCTATTAACTTTTATTCTCGTAATCCATTCTTCTTCTCCCCATAGTAGCAACCTCTCTAATGTGCTAATGTAGTTTTATTTGTACACATTCTTGCAAAATTCATGTTGTTGCCTCTTCTGTATGCATTTTTAAATTTCTGTAAGTGATGGTGTTACCTGTCACATTCGGTTTCAGGTTTCACTTGGTGGAAAATTAAGACTTTTCCAAGCATATATTTAATCTGCAGTACTAAGTGTTGTCACTGCTGCTTGGTATTCCATGATGAGTCTCCACTGTGGTTGAACATAGTACCGCTCATACTTAACACCACCGCCACCACTCTCTGGTCCCTGGAGTGTGGCAGGTCCCTCATGCCTGTGCATAACAGCAGACAGTGATACTTCGGTGAACAGCTCCAGGAGCTCCCTGGTCTACGGGAAGCTTCTTAACTTCAGTAACTGCATAACACATCAGGCAGCAATTCCCCTCATGGGTGTGAATCTCAAAATAGTTCCAGATGTTGTCCAGAATGGCCACATCAGTCCAGCTCACCTGTGCTGCATGAGCGTTCCTATTTCCCTACACATCTCACATCTCATGTGTACTTATACTTGGCCTCATCTGCCATTTTATTTATTTTGGTTAGGCTAATAGCTATAAAATGAGCTCACTGTTTTACTCTAAGTTTTTTTTTTTTCCTGACCATTAGCAATTTTGCACACTTCATATGCTTGTTAGCATCTGGGGCTTGTTATTTGTAAACTGCTTTTTAATATCCTTTGCCATTTTTTTTACAATTTATAGTTTTTTTTAGTTGATTCTGTAGGCATTTATATTTGGACATTAATTGCTTATCAATTTAAGACGTTGCAAATATTTCCTTCCATTCAGCCATCCGTATACTAACTTCAACTTTGATGTTCTTTGTGGGTAGAAATCTTATATTTTATTGCAATACGATTTATTTTCTCAACCCACACTGCCTTATAATTCTGTGGTTTTTTGGGGGGCTGGGGATGTGGCTCAAGCGGTAGCGCGCTCGCCTGGCATGCGTGCTGCCCGGCTTCGATCCTCAGCACCACATACCAACAAAGATGTTGTGTCCGCCGAGAACTGAAAAATAAATATTAAAAATTCTCTCTCTCTCTCACTCTCTCTCCTCTCTCACTCTCTCTTAAAAAAAATAATTCTGTGTTTTTCAAGACACTCAATAAGCTGGATGTGATGGTGTACATCTGTAATCCTAGTGGCTCAGGAGGCTGAGGTAGGAGGATTGCAAGTTCAAAGCCAGCCTTAGCAACTTAGCGAGGCCCTAAGCAACTCAGCGAGACCCTGTCTCTAAATAAAATCTTTAAAAAGGACTGGGGATGTGGCTCAGTGGTTCAGTGCCCCTAGGTTCAATCCCTAGTACCAAGAAAAGAAAAAAAAAGATTTATTAATAAAGTCCTCTCCTCCCTGGGTCACAAAAATATTCTCCCTTTATTTCTGTTAACTCCATACATGTTACATGTATGACTTTTTTTTTTTCCAGTATGGGGGATTGACCTCAGGATGCTCTACCACTGAGCTACATCCCCAACCCTTTTTATTTTTGATTTTGAGACAGGTCTCGCGAAATTGCTGAGGCTGCTCTCCAACTCCCTGTCCTCCCACTCAGCCTCCTGAGTAGCTGGGATTCTAGGCATGTGTCACGACATCCAGCTTGAAAGTTCCCTTTTCATTACTTGGGATATTAGCTAGTCTCCACATGGTCTCTTCACTGACCTTTGACTCCCAATAATCACACTCTATGCAGTTCTTCCTTGTTGAATCGGGTGGCCCTGCATGACCAACTGAATATGGTAGAAATATCACCATGTAACTTCCAAATCAAGGTCAAAACCAGCCAAGGACTTCTGTGAATCATTGGCCAGCCACGGAGCCTTGGTTACGTGAGTTTTCCCTACCACGGAGCCCCAGCCCCAGCCCTGCATGCAAGTTTTTGTAGAATATCTTCCGTTGGCAGTTGGTTGAAGGGACATATAATAAACCCACAGATACAAAAGGCCACTGTGCTATAGGCTCAGCCCTTTCCCGGAGCTCACCAAGAAAGTAAGAGAAGGGCACCAAGGAGACTGAATTCTACCTGGGCAGGCCTGTTCACAGGGACACAGGTGACTGGTCACTTGGGTGGCACTAAGAAGGGGTGGCCTTCATAAAAGAGGCTAAGAAAACATTGGTTCAATTTGAACCAACTGCTGGAAGCCGGGTGTGGGCTGTCTGTCGGTCTAGATAGCCCGGGCTAGAGCTGGGGAGAGCTGGCCACACTAACAGGTTTTATCCAGGTAGGGAAGGGCGACAGAGGGAGAGACATCTCCTGGGAAGTGCCAGGTTGGAGGGCACAAAGTGCCAGGTTGGAGAAGACAAACCAGTCCTGTGCTGATCTAGCCCTGACCCAGTGCAGAGTGGCCAAAATCTTTTTTTTTTTTTTTTTTTTAAGTGCTGCTTGAGGGAGCACAGAGTAAAAGTGGTCAGCCTAGAGGAGAGGTCGATGAGCTTCTGGTAGAAGAAAATGCCCTCTGACCCTGGCAAGGCTCAGGAAGCCATACTGGGCCCAAGTCCTACACCAAATCCCATAGAGGATGGGACTGCTGTGAAGAGCTGGAAAGGCCACCTGCCAGGACCTGCTGGGAGGGTGAGCGGGAAGGCTTAGCACTGGGCTGCCCGGGGCAGCCAGCTCACATCTCCAGCACTTGCCTAGCACCAGGTAGTAGCCGCTGTCACACTGGAAGAAAGGTCTGAGATGGGGAATTCCTAGAGAGACACCCCTTCCCTGGGGATCAATGAAGAAATGGCAATTAACATCCCACCGAGAGAGAGAGCCCTGCATACCTCAGGGACCCACCTGAGAACGCCACGGGCATGCGCAGTCCCTGGAACTCTCTGACTTTGCTGATGCACATGCAAATTGCTTTAGCCACTCTGGAAAACAATCTGGCAATTTCTTAAACACACAGTCCTGAACCAGCAAGTCCACTCCAAGAGCCATGGAAACATGTCCCTCCAAAAACCTCTGTGTTGATGGTTAGAGCAGTTACACGTGGAAGCACCCCAGTGGCCTGGACAGGAGGAAACCAACGTGGTGCATGGGTGCCCTGGAGTCTACTCAACAGTGAAGGCACCGGCGACTTTCACCTTCAGCAATAGGAATGGATCTCAGACTCAAAGGCAGCCATACTGTATTCTTCTAGGACATTCTGAAAACCACATAACAATAGGGAGAGAAGAGGTGAGCGACTACAAGGGCCTGAAGGTGGTAGGGGGACCGGGGTCCACCACAGCAGGGCACAGGGAACATTCTGAGGCAATGGGAGTCGTCTGCCTTGACCATGGTGTGGTCACGTGACTGGATGCCTTAGTCATAAAGAATGGATGTGTAAATTAGGTCTCAATAATCATGACTTAAAAACAGTTACCACCAGAAATTAGTGACAAAAGAAGGCCTTGAGTGGCCATGAGTGATATTCTATGTTTTGGTCCATGTATTGGGTACATTGGTCTGTTAGATTGTGAAAATTATTCAGTCTGTACCCTGTGAATTATGCAGTTTTGTATGTATGTTATATCTCCATAAAAAGTTTTATTTTCTTTGATATCAGGTATTGAACTCAGGGGCACGCTGAGCCACATCCCCAGCTCTATTTTGTATTTTGCTTGGAGTCTGGGTCTTGAAAGAATCCTCCACGCAAGACACTTCACTGGGGAGAATTCCAATTTTATTGCAAAAGGCTGTGTGCTTATATAGATCTAAGGAGAGATGGCAGGGCTTAGCTAAATGGCAGGCCACCCGTTTATTGACAAGTTCTTCCAGATATCAGTTCCGGAGCCCAGGAATTAGTTCTTATTGGGGCTAAGGTTCCCCGCCAGCGAGATTTGAAATTGGCGCTGGCGGGAGAGTTCACACCCGTGGAAACTTTTCGCTTCAGTGAAAAAAAGGGAAAGTAGGAAGAGAAGGTCCTTAGGCGCCATGTTGGGGTTTTTCTCTGGGGTGCGGCTGCCGTTATACTTTTCCCAACAGGTCTCACTGTTGCTTAGCACCTCGGCCTTTGAACTCGCGATCCTCCTGCTTCAGCCTCCTGAGCCTCTGGGATTGTAGGTGTGCACCACCGTGCATAGCTTCTTTCCCTTTTTTTAGAAATTAATTTTAACATATAGATACAAAACAAATATAGATTCACAGCATTCACAATAAATCATTCAAATAACATTGTAAATCGTTTTTTTAAAGTTTTTTTCCCTCTTTCTTTCTTCCTTTTTTTTTTTAAGAGAGTGAGGAAAATGACTCTTGAGTAGCCTCGGAGAGAGAAATG